TCAGTGGCGTCCCCATCTTAAATAATTGATTGATTATTGATATAACTAATAACACACATTGGTTATAGTATACTTAACATAATAATGCAACTTGCGTTTTTCTTTCTTACCTAATGCAATTTTCATTTTCCTCTTCACCTATCCAAATTCATCAGTTTCCGAGAAACTCTTGTTTACCATATGTTCATGTTTGTTTTACATCCACCATCTCGTTGCCATGGTTATTCATTGATTCGGTACAGAAAGTTAAACACGTAAACATATCAGGCTCATAAACTAACACTTTTTTCTCATCACATATTTCAAAATCGGTAAAATTACAACGTAGCTTAAAATTGTTCGCGTCCGCGTCGCGTCGAGGATGGAATTTGTGGACACTCCCAATTGGAGAGAGCCTTCTTACAAACCGCCGGTGTTCATAAGCAAGCTGTGGAAATGCTCGACTCAGGTAAGTGTCGAAACTTTGGTAGCAAGTATTTTAATTTATTTTGGAATTTCTTAAAAATGCATCAGACAACAGTATACCTTTCCGAATAACTGTGGGCTTTGACTATGGCATTTGTAGACACCCATTCCCATATCAATGTTGTGGCCACTTTATGAAAATGGACATTGTTGAATTACATCAACGGCAAAATGGGCTTATACCAATAATTATTTTTCTATCAAATTGGCAAACTCGTTAACCAACCTAAGTTGAAATAAAAACTTTTGTGTAAACTATCGTATGCATGTATTATTGTACGAAAGTATTGCCCAATCCAGGAGAAATTCCCCAAAACAGTAACATTTAAAAATACCATGTTATTCTTATAGAGAAAGAGTATACTGTTGTAGGCTAGTTTGTTTACAGATATATTTTGATCAATAAGTTTAATAATTTTATAGCCTACTATACTTTTAACATTCGCAAAGGGTACGTGTCCGGTAACCGAAAGTGGATTAGGCGTCCGGCAGTGACGTCACCGGGTTGTGAGGCCCCGGAACACCATTACCACAACGATACGATGTGTAACCATCAAGGTCCGTGGTGTGGATGTACTCGGCTGAGATACAAGAGGTATCAAGATCGAATCCCTTCGATGGCACTTACTTTTTGTCAAAGGGTTTGCTTAGAATGCCATTTTTTCTTAACTGTACAACTTTTGTTAGAATCTGAGGCATTTATAATTTTATTTTATGAACAGAATTTAACCTTCATTCGATTTTTTTTTCATTGTCAGCAAGTTTGTATAGTTAGGTTAGGTTATGACAGAAACTGCCGGACGCCTAATCCACACCCGGTAACTGGACGTGTATCCTCTGCCTTTAACATTTTACAAACAAACTTGTTCCTTCACTGTAGCAGCAAACCTAATCTATATACCGTAATTAATACGCTACATGAAACTTTGTCGGTTGAACTCCTCCGCCATTTCTTAACCGATTTTATCCATTAACGTCTCATTGGAGCGTGTCGCGTAGATTTGCAAACTGACCTTACATTATGTTCCTTCCCCAGTGGCTGTTAAATTTCCCATGTTATCCTTATGAAGAACATAATTGTTTACATTTTGATCAGCTGTATAATTTAATTGCTGTTATTTATTTTTCAATTCAAAATCTTTTAAACTCATTGGAAACTATGATGACTTTTGTTTGTTTTTAAATAGGCCTAACTACTTTACTTGATTTCGAGCAACGTGTTTAGGCCTACTAGTTAATTATTAAGCCTAATATTATTTAGGCCTAAGTCATTTTCATAGTGCACCTGACACAAGGAAGCTTCTAATCTATTCAAATTTTGTAAAAAGTTTTCGAAAGAAAAGTTACGTTTTGTCCGCTATTAAAGCACTATATAGACTTAGATATTTTTTTAACATTAAACAAGACAATTTTTAAATACCGGTATTGTAGCTTAATTTTTTTTGTATACAAGATTTTTCCTTCACCTAATGCATGCATAATGAATGCATTAGGTGCAAATTTAATGCTAAAGATACATCGATACTAAGCATTCGTTACGAGTAAATTTCCTACTCAACCATGTTCATGCGAAAATTGGCAAAACTGTCTATGGGTCGTTTTGTATTTTTAAATGTGGTAGCAATAGATTTCGATTAAAGGACTCCGATTTGTTGGATTGAGGTGGGGGAAACTGCGCTGTTCCCTTTGCCGAATTTTCCCTTGAAGTGGAGGTACTATCTGTCGGAGCGTTGAGATCTTTGATTCAATAATCGAAATAGCAAATTAACGATTCAAAGTTTCGACAAAACAGTAACTTGGTAATTGTTGTAACGACTCCAGATCACTCGAACTCCTTCTGTCTCTTAAAACTTCCTCTGAACTGGTAATTCGTAAATTAAATTTTATCTCTCACAAACTAAGCCGGTATTGTTGTTTCTTAAAATTGATTAATCTGTATTTGAATTTCGTATTCTTAACATAGGCTACAGAAAAAACCCAATAAAACCGAGTTCAATCAAATTATCTTTAATTTTGTGGATTTCAACATGATATAAACATTTAGGTTAGGGCCTCTTTTGATTTGGAGCATTTTCTATAAAATCGCTCAACAGTAATAGAAAGTTTCAGCTTTGCTGTCAACAGTTAACACGCAGTACTAGTTTTAAGGCTTATTTGGAGGTTAATAATTATTGGGATCTTTGTTTGTATTTTTTTAGAAAACCAAAAACAATATTGTACATTTTTTGGGAAATTTCGTGATCCTAAAAATGTGGCTTTAGCAGAGTCGTCCAATAACACAAAGAGTGGGCAGCTGCACACCACCCCAAAACTACTCTAAACTCTCCCGTCTCCAATCCGAAACACGAAGAAATATTCCACAAACTACCTCCTTCCTTGCCTCCTTGCCAATGCCATCCGTATCCTCAATAGTAGTCTCTATTTCACTTCTGTCACTACCAGACTATACTCGTCTTCCTTGTGTAGTCCGTCCTGTTCTAACCTACGCGCATTCACCCCCATTGTCAGCCCCTGACTACTACAAATCTAGCCTAGAAGCTACTGAAAGGGGGGCCATACAGGTGACATATTTTCTCCATTCCTAGACCACTGACCAAGAGCAGATATACAAATGTAGGCCTACAGGGTGCTCTGTATTTAAGCTACCAACTACATACAACAACTTTTGACTTCCTCAATCAACCTTTTACACCCTCATCATCACCAGCTTTGAAAGGTTGCTAAGTGCTAACCAGTGACGTAGTCAGGATTTCAAAATGGGGGGGTCGACCAACCACCCGGTCTGGTAGAAGGGAGGTCAGGGAACATTTTTGAAAATATATATCCCCCTCTCCTGGCATTGAAAATAAACAACCCCAACGTCAATACAGTATTATTATATAACTTATATCATTATTTGTATAATTTTACGTTTAATTTTACAAAAAAATATTATTTTTAGGACCGGAAGGGGGGGGGGGGTCCGGACCCCCAGGACCTCCACCTGGCTACGTCACTGTGCTAACTCGTAATACCTAACATTCGAGTACGTAAGTGAAGTGCCTGTCAAAGCTCCTAAGCTCCCCATAGGTGAAGATGGCTAAGTTTAGAAAACCCCTGTGTTGTACATTACTCGCTGAAATTTTACGAACGAAAATATAAAAAAAACTGCTAAGTATATTGTGTCCCCTTTTTAAGTAGTTACCGGTACGTTGAAATAAGAACCAACTATTTAAAAATTCACAGCTAATATAATTGTAATTGCCATAGTCTATTATCATAATGTCCCACACATCAGAGGTCTAACCAGCTCTATGGGTCTAACAGACCAACCTCGTGCCTACCGAATTGTTCAATACTAGTCCTCTTTCTTCTACTCATAATATTCGGTCAACCCCATTTTAATTGTGTACAAGATGGTACAAGCCAATCGACAAGTAGGCTATAATTAGTGCCAAGTATAAGGAAGGACTATTAAGTTACGAGTATTAAGGTCGATGTTTATGATCACGCAATTACTTTTATTGTAATTTCATAAGCAAAATATGAGTAAATGTATGGTATGGATGTAAATGGATTGTAAAGTAGATTTTTCTACAAAACGTAGGAAAATCAGAGGTGAATTTTAAACTCATTTTGCATTTCCATGCAGTATCGATGCAAGGCAACACTCCTTGATCGATTTTAGAATGTGTTGAAGTTTTTGAAACACTTGTTTACACAATCCAATATTACATGAGAATAAAACTAGACTACAATTGTTAAAAACGTATTACTTTTACAAAAAGTGGAAGTATATGTTCTATCTCTTCTACACCTTCCCCAAATTTATTTGAGAAGTTATTAATTGTATTTGAGAACCATTAATTGTATTTAAGAAAAATATCAAAATGTGGGTACACTTCCACTGTTGGCTCAAACAACCAAATTAAAATATCGATCCATATTTAGTTTGGTTAGTTAGGTAAGGTTAACCTAACTAACCAAACGATATATCGAATTAAACAAGTTTGTGCCAACAGATATGGAAGTGTACCCATTAATCAGCTTGATTTTTCAAATACATTTAAACATTTCCTAAATACAATTTACTGTTCTTAAATTAATTCGATGCCTTGTAAAAAACAACTGACTGTTTTCATAGACAAAATTCTTTTTGTCTATGCTGTTTTCAACCTCATTTGATGTTTCTAAAATATATCTGACTAATCTCAAATACAATTTATATGTTCTCAAATAAACATAACTGTTTCTAAAATAAAATTGGAAAAGGTGTAGAAGCCACTTATTTCACATAATATATTTCAAAATATAAAAGAAGTATCTGTTCAGTAAACTTCGGTAAACTTCAATATTCTATATTAAATGCTCTTTGCTATTTGTTTTACTTACATCTCTTTTCCCTGCAACATGTGCTGTAATTCTATTTATTTATTTTATTGTTATATCATATGTTGTATTTCAAATGTAAATCAGTAAAACAGAATCATTCAGTACCATCCATACATACAATTGATCTCAGTAATTTTGAATAAAACGGTCAAAAACCAAACGACTAATTCAACTTTATATAGTATAAAACACAGGTTGAGATCGCTCGAACTGCTCTTTGCCACTGCACATGCGTGAATTTTCTCTGCTATTTGTGTTGTTGGCTGCCCTGCTACCCGTAAGCTTCATTCTCTCACTGGTTGCATCGCCATAGTCTTAATCGCAGTCCTCTTGTCGGTGTCTCGTTTGTGTTTAGGTCGTCATGGCGTACAACGGCGAAGGCATGGCTAAGAGACCTCGAACTGAGTTAGATTCAAGCAGGGTGAGTTATTATCTCTATATTAAGTCTTGGTTTAAACTGTTAATATGTGTGCATTTCATGTTTGAAGTTGAACTTGGCCAAGTTTGCAAACTATGCCTAGCCCCCGGTCTCCCGCCTTCAATCACATTTTAAAGTTCTAGGCCTTGTTGAATTAAATGTTAATGTGGTTACATTGTATCTATATTCTTAAGAATGCATGAAAAAGAGACTCTAAAAATGAATGTCGGCCACTAAATCAAATTGCCTTTTACATCCACTCTAGTAAGTAAACACAAAATCGTTGTGTAACATGGGTAGGTACTTCGCTTAACCTAACTAACATGTTGCCAAAGGCTATTTTTTCCGTAGGCCTAACACGTTAACATGGATTACCATAGAGAATGTCAGCCTATTGCTCAGTTTCAAATGTAGACTACAGTATTTACACAGGGGTACAGATTATTAACTGGGCTAACTTAAGTTATGCTAATATCGATTGAAACTAAGTTATCGAATTGAAAATATTGATTAGGCCTACAGTAATCGACATTTTAAAATATATCTATTTTAAAATTAAACTATCATAACCTAACCTAACCAACCAAACTTGCTGATGGTCAAAAAATCACATGAAAGTTTACAAAACGGATCGATAGTCTCAATCGATTTTAGCGTAGCCCAGTTAAGGATGCGCTTTACCTCAGCTCGGAAACCTCAGCTCGGGCTTCAGTAGCTATTTTTCACCATTGGACAGCGCTGCAAGAAGCGCTTGCAGACGTTTCCAAGATTACTGTTTTAGAATTAACAAATAGCTACACACTCTAAACGGCTTATAGTAGTACAAAGACCAATCTATAGTTCTGCGTTTTTCAAATGTTCGAAAAACGTTTTTTTTATAAGTAGGCTAAAGGCTAGTTGAAAAGACCCTTTTTTCTTGTATTACAACTCAAGTTTATAAGGTGTAGGCCTATATTTAAAATAATTGAAATATAGAAACAAATAACTAATAGAAAATTTCATCCTCTTTAATATGAGACCTTAACTTTGATTCTACCTTTAATGTAGCAGGTGAAAACAGAAATCTTACAAACCCTTGCATTCGGTTGCGCGTCAGGGGTAAAGCGCGCCCTTAAGAAACTGTACCCGACAGGTTTACATAATTAGGCCTAACTGAGGTTGTTAGAGGCCTTTTAAACAATGGTGTTGACCTGTATAAACTGTAGGCCTAAACCTAGATATATTTTAAACATGAAATGCATTATTATTTTGTCTTGGTTAATAACTTAATTGACAGGTTTAGGCCTTATGATTTAATAACACAGTCTGACACGACTCGCTACCTTTTAACTATTGCAATAAATAATAGGCTAGCTTAGCTTACACATATTTAAGTTAAATTAAATGTAACTTACAGTGTGAGTTGTCGGATGGTTCTTTAACTTACTATTAAGAACTTAAGTTACGTTGGTTGTAAATAAAACTGTAAGGGCCCAACGTAAGTAAGTTAGCATACCTATTGTAAGTAACTTAATGAGAACATTTATTTCAAACTCATTGACTTCCGTTGACTATGGCCTATTTACTTTCAATCTGTGGAATAAGTAAAATACTTAATGTTATCTGCAGTTTAATTCAAATTGAACTTATTTTCAACTTTTGCCGTTAAAGTGGTGTCAATGGGTTGTAGCGGCGTTTTGAGCACCCCTTTTTCAGACCCAGTAATTATAATATTTGAGGTCCACCCACGTTTATAATTTATTGTCTATGTACTTATTGTGAGAAAGTGATTTCTATCCTCAAGATTAACTTAGGCTAAAGATAAATACACATTTAGGACATAATGTTAGGTATACTTTGGGTTGGCCTTCTAGATTCAACCCCGGATTTTTTCAATACGTACAGTTAACGCTTGTACTGAACCAGCTCAACCCTTGGATGCGATCCAATCTCATAAGGTCCGGGTGGACGGACAGATAACATGCTAACAGTGTTTGACAACCTTTAAAAAAAATCAGTCTGCCAAAGATGGGCTTTGCCGCTCCTGCAGCTTAGTTACCTATTTTAGGTTATGTTAGGCCGTTTTCTACGTGAGCGACAGGAGAGTGGGGGCAGCAGTGACACAAGCGGAACACTTTTTTAAATCTTCAGATTGTTGTTGTTTTTGGCGTCTTACCAACTTGCGTTGTATGTAGGGCTAACACATGTAATGTATGTGTCGCATGTTCCATAATGAAGGATACTTTTGCTTTGAAGCAGTGCATTCATCCTCAGACATAATGCATAAGTACAGGCCTACGTGTTAAGAAAAATCCTACCTACTGAACGAAAGAACACAACAGCAACTGCTGCCGAGAATGTGTGCGCCGCCTGTCCGGGAGCGTTTAAAAGTTTTGCTAGCTACACTGACAACAGCAGCAACACTTCCCGAGCAACAGCAGCAGAAAGCTAGAAAATGGGTTAAAATTTTAAAAATAGCTAGGCCTATGCTCAACTCACGCTGTCATAGCTTTGCTCCTGTTGTCCATTAACGACGTTCCTGTGCATATACATTGGTTTGAAATTTGGTTGTTGCTGTAGCATAGAGCCTATCATATGAAATCATGTTCTACGGGCTGACAGTTTATTTAGTGGCCAAACTAAATGATCGAAAAAGTAAACAACAACAAAATTTATGTTCGTAAGAATTTGATTCTTGACATTAACTAATTAGGCTGTTGTACTAGATTTGAAACCGATGCAAAAAATCAAGTAAAATCATGTTGACTGTAGATTAAATAAATTAGCAGCTTAAACAATGTAAAAATCTCGTGGAATAAAGAACTTCACAGAGCCTAAGGTCCCTTTCTAAGTAGGCATCATATGAAATCATATGAAATTGATGGTCCATTGGTAGGCCTAATGAGCCTTGGCTTTAGCAAATTTCCTAATAGGGAAGTAGCTGTTACTGTAAGTGGCACAGTAAGACCTAGACCCAGGACAGATATAGGGCCTACTTTTTAATTTTGATGTCCCTAGAGGCCAAAAACACTAGGCTATTTGTAAAATTTTAACGCATTCGTCCATAAACCCGTAACTTGGATAATTTGTATTCGATTTTGATGATTTTGGCTTGAAGATGAGGGGCGGGATAAACTTGAATAAGTTGGGGGACTAACATAATAGGACCAGCGACGCAAATATGTGACAGCCGGTTTATACCGATAGACTGCTATCGCATAAGTTATGCAAAAGCTGGTCACATTGAAATAGACTGACGGTATGTCCAGAGTGCACGCCGATTCAGATTCAGAATCAGATTGAGATTTTTGGCGTGTGGTTAATCTGAGTCAAATATTTTGTTGGTGGTCACAGTGCAAGTTGCAGGAAATACACCACTGGTATGCCTGCTTACTCGGTTAGCAAAGAAGCAAGTCAGTCTTTGTTATGGAATTGTTGGATGACGAATTAGTGAGTAAAATTGACGTCTGAAAATGTTGTGAAGTTACTGCTAGTGAAAAATGGTGTTCATGATATTATATCTTTTTTCCCATGACAAAAAACGATAAAGTTTCTTTCTATGTTGCGTTGAATGGAGTCCGAAACCACCGACACTTATTAAAATTGGACATCGTATTGTAAGAAACTTGTGTAACCTACACGAACAAAACAATTTTCCTGGAGAGCATTTAGTGGTAGGCTACCTAACCCTAAAATTCACTTCAAAACAGGATTAACTGTCTGTTATAGAAAAACTAGCTGTAACCCACGGGCTTTGCCCCGTTTAACTTAACTTAATTTTCAAGATGATCTTGTTCGCATGGCTCAATCACGTCCTGACGTCCTGGTTGAAGTTTGTTCGCTACGCTCACTCACTTTTAGGTTAGAGCTCGTTCGCTGCGCTCACTTGCCTTCAGGTTAGCTCGTTCGCTACGCTAACTTGCCTCCAGGTTGAAGTTCGTTCGCTACGCTCACTCACCTTTTGGTTGCAAATTAGCTGTTGTCATAAATGTAAAAGAAATAATAGTGCTGCACCCTGTGTTGGTAATCCTTGTAACTTTAATGCTATTGAACATCATAGAACAGAACCAACTTGTTTAATTGAAACAGCTGCTGAGATTCATTAATTCCATTTAAATATGAGTACTCATAAGGTTAACATGGGAAACTCCAGAGCCACTGGGGCGGAGCCCAGAGGTCGGAGGGTAAAATCCTTTCTTAGTGAGCGTCTACTACCCAAAAGGAAGATGCCTGCCAAGTTTCAGGTTCCTAGGTCTTATGGTTTCTGAGATGTTGTGATGAGTGAGTGAGTGAATGAATGAGTCAGTGGTATTTGAGCTTTATATATATAGATAGGCTTAGCTGTCGGAGGAACATTTCATGCACATTTTTTTACATGGTGATTGATTCCGCAGTTCATTCCACACTGGCTGTAGCACTTATAGGCCTATATTTTTTCCTGCCTGACAGACAGCGTCCAACATGACCATATTTGCACATTCTGATTCTTTAATTTGCAAGAATTGTGATTATCTTCGTGATTATTCGTCACGTTTCCACATCTATTGTTCAATATTAGCTAACATACAAAAATGTTGCTGTCTAAATTCTGTTTCAACACGACCGTAAAATGTAGAGCAAAACAACGTTTAATTTGTCTATTTTGAATCGCAACAAAAAATGATGAAAGACACAAGTTAGTGTGGTCTATTCTTGTCATACAGATGTTTACCAATATATAATCATTAGTGTCAGTCGGATGTATAATTAAGCCTTTGTATGCTCAATTGGCTGTCTGGTATTACATGAAGGAGAGGCATTTAGTTTGGTAATTGAATACGCATGCCAAGAATTTTGAGCTTGGTGGTTTGAAGTCAGTTTAATAGATTAAGTTGATAGCCAGTAATTGGCCTTTGGAGAATGCATACCTAATTTGATTTGCTAACTGTTAAGTTGTCTGGAGTAGTAGACCAATTTTTTTAAAACTTATACATGTAGGCCTAATTTTACTTTGATGTTTTGGGTTTTAGCGAATTTCCCACATA